TATCTATCTATCTATCTATCTATCTATCTATCTATCTATCTATCTATCTATCTATTGTCTGCCCTGCGAGTGTACGTATGTACATGTAGACATGTGTGTAAATCATCATACATAATACAATTTCTCTCTCCCTTTCCAACCAACACCCAGGTCCGTTATCACAGCTCCCCCCCTTACACACACACACACCGTGACCTGCAGCTAGTTGCCCATTTCTGCACTGGTGATGAGAGGAAACCTGCTTAGAACCTTGAGACGCCTGTGATAGGCGTTGTACAATTATCTCCAGATATTCACGCTCTCAATCCGCACCGATGAATTGCTTTATCATTTGCCGACCCGCTCGCTTTGAGCATCATGAAAGAAAACGCTTCCAATTCCCAGCGCAAACCCCGCGCCAGATCTTGAGCGCTTCATGGGTGGCAACAACGTTGTATCTGCGGTATTATGCTCCTGCATATCGAACGTTTTGGATCTGAGAGCGCTGTTCACTGCTGCCTGGCCCTTTCCTCGGCACTCACTCCCCAGTTTGGCCAGCGCGAGTGGGCGGGGTCAAGACGCCGATACTTTCTCGCGACAGCCTCCTCTTTTCCGAAGCCTTTGATTGGCGGCGCTCTCGCCGCTGTCATCGACTTGTCAACCAAACCACGCCCTAATTCCTAAGCAGAAATCCTGCTGAGCCCATGGAGTACCAGGATTTCGAGAGACTGACGGACAGAGGGGAGGTGATTGGGAGGGGGATTCGTGGTGAAAGACGGCAGAACAAAGACAGCCTCCTTCCCCTTCTCTATCTCAGGGGAATTATCCGTTGTCACCTTTTTCTATCCACAAGCGCGCTCTTTAGATTTGTGTCTGTGTGGGCTATTCTGATTGCTAGCATCACTTTCCACTTTTATTAATTTGAAAGATAAAACCGGCTGGTGCAGTGGTGGTGGTAACGGAAACTGAGGAGGGTGCGGGGTGGTTTCTGTGACGTATAAGGGATCTAGTTCTCTCGCACTGGGCCACGAGTCTTAGTCCTTGAGATAGCAAGCTAATGACAGTGTCGGGGTGTATGGTCATAGAAACATAGGCCCCACACAGTTTTGTGAAGACCACAATTAATTGTAACGTCTCTGAACCGCCAATCAAGTTCTACTGCTATGAGCCGATAACAAGTGTTAGCCACCGAGTTTTCCTCTCAGTGGTATACTCGTCAAAGATATCATTTTCATAAACACACACTTCATGCATCTAAACAGCATATAAAAGCATTTTATATGGAGTTGTTGTCTGCCCGATAATTTAAATTATCAGGTGCATGTTATAAAGGAGAACAAGAGTTTGTGCTGCACGTTGACTGGGGTACCACAGCTCATATCAACACTTTGAAACACTTGGACGTTAACAAAGAAAATCTCAAAAGAAAGGAAAAACAAAACAAACAAAAAATTTCTTCGTTCACGGTCCACGTTACAATTTTTTTTTCGTAAAGAAGAGTACGAAACAAGACAACAACAATCAAAAGCGAAACGAAACTATTTTTTTTCCAAGACGGATCCCACAATCAACTACACCGGGTCCAAGGAGAGACAAAAGTCGATACAAGTACGAGACTGCCACGGCACGGACTGCTAAACGACTTGAGCTGAGTTGACGAGGAGGACAGAGATTTGTCTTTCCCACCTCCACACAGCCGTAAGTCATGGACTTGAGCATACGCAAGCGCACTGGATATGATATCGAGAGTCTGCTGGGCACTTCACCGGACACCCGGAGGTCAAACAGAGAGGTCACGGGGACAACGGCCAGCCCGCGACATGCTACCCTGGATGGCGACGACGTTGACTCAGGTAGGTTTCATATTACAGGATAGAGTTTAGGTTTTGACTCTTGGTTTGTTGGCTTTTATTTTATTTTTTTATCTTTTACTATTCCATTTTTTGCAAGATGAATATTGGCTGTTATTCTTAAAATATTGGTGGGGTTTTTTTTAAAACTCTTTTACTCTTTTACTCTTCTATCATATGGCTTTGTTGTTTCGTGTGCATTGTATTTACTGGGTTTATTTTATCTCTTTTAAAAAATATTTGGTGGGTGAGGTCATTTAAAAGGTTTCTCTCGACTGTTTACAGGGAGTGCAAGCACATCATTCAATAACTTGACCGCTAATAAATACACAAGATGTACAACTAAACGATGATTTAATTTAACGGAATTTCTCAAAACAACCTACAGTGAGCCACGGGTGCACAATGCTAAATTATGTGGATGTTAAGGCCACTTGTCACTTTCATTTTGAGATGTGCATTGAAAGTACACAATTAGTTTAGTTTTAAAATTATATCAAACGCATTGTTTGGAATATTCAATCCACCCCCCCCCCAAAAAAAAAACACACAAAAAACA